CGGGGGGCGGTGCCGCGGTTGGGCGGGCGGCGGCGGCCGTGCCTGCTGTGAGCGGCCTCTGAGCCGCCGGGGCTTTGGCTCCGACACAGGCTGTGCCCCCGGCTCTGACAGCGGCAAAACTGCCCCGCCTGAGACCTGCTGGGAGCTGTGAGAGGGCTGGGCTGGGGGTCCTGGCAGGTGGCTGCTCCTGCACTGTGGATTTCTTGCTGCTTTGCTCAATAGAGGCAATCATGAGTGATCGAAAAGCAGTGATTAAGAATGCGGACATGTCAGAAGAGATGCAGCAAGACGCTGTAGAGTGTGCTACGCAGGCCTTGGAGAAGTACAACATCGAGAAGGATATCGCTGCTCACATTAAGAAGGTAAGTGAAGTGTTTACTTGTAATGTCTCCTTGAAATCTATGCACATGAAAAATCAAACAGGGAGAATGCTGCTGGGCAAGTAGCTCTAGAGTAACGAGTTCTAGAGACACTAGATAATCAAGTTGGACCTCCTCTGTTGCCTGGTGTCCTAATGTTTCTGTCTCCACCCTTTATGTGGAGTTTTCCAGGTCCTTCTGCAGTCTTGCAGGACCTTCTACTTTCTGCCTTACCTTTTCTGCTGCTGTCCCATTGTTGAGGTGACCAGGGTGGCAGCTGACTGTCCCTGTGACTGGTGAGCTGGTACAAAGCACAGGGGCTCCATTGAGGTCTCCCAAGTTTTCCCTATGAGAGAAAACCTGTTTTACATAATCTTTGGTTTCAGGTTTATTGAACTCAATCTTAAGGATCTGTTTTCAGTTCTGTCCAGCTGGGTCAAAAAATGCAGGGAAATTTAGTTTCCTGCAAGTCAGTGTGTCCCTACACAAGGGGAAAAAGAAAAAGACTAAAAAAACCCACAAAAGATGCTGGTGGCACTGATTATCTGTTGTTTGCAGAGTCTGTGTCGTTCTTTATGTAGGATTAACAATACTGAACATGGGAAAGATCTCGTTCTGATGATATTTCCTGCTTCATCAACTTAGGAGAATGGAGAAATCAAAAGAGGGACAATGAAAGTTAAACTGGTCTGAGTGGAAGAGCTGTTGAAAAAGTAATTCAGCTAAGCAGAGTGATTGCCTCCACTAGAGAAATATTGGTTTGTTATGCCCACAAAACAGGCATTTTTTTTCCACCAGATGGAGAAAATATCTGATACTGGAAAAGAGAGTTTATTCTAGTATTTTTCAGGTGTTCTTTCTAGCAACTTGTGGGAATTTGTAGAGGATTTGTTTCAAATGTGTAAAACACAAATTGTTAGATTTGTTGATAGTACTGGTGTGACAGAGCATGTGGCAGAGAATTTTCCACTGAGTCCCTTCAGCACCCATGCTGCAGCTGAACAATTAAATACAAATTATGGCTTCATGTCTGTGAGTATAAGATTAGTGGTGAAGGTTTTACTCGAGGGCTGTAGTTTCAGATCATGGTATGAATTACAGAGGGAGAAAGGTTCTGTCTGAACAAAAGTAGTATTTTAAACTTACCATGGTTGAGATGGGAAGCACTGAAGGGATTTGGGGTTGTTTTTGTGGATTTTTTTTTTGTCTAAGCAGCAGACGAACAGTAAGATGTAAATAAGATTATCCTAGTATTTGTGAGCATCTGCTCCTCCTGATTGCCTTGCTCAGAAAGTGAATAGCTGTTTAGAATAGTTCTTAATTTCTAGCTATCTGTTTCACAGGAGTTTGACAAGAAATACAATCCCACTTGGCACTGCATCGTGGGAAGGAACTTTGGCAGCTATGTGACTCATGAGACCAAGCACTTCATCTACTTCTACCTCGGCCAAGTCGCTATTCTTCTTTTCAAGTCTGGGTAGAACCAAGGACTGTTACAGAACCTTGCATCTGGTTACAGGACTGTGTGCTGACTCCTGACTAGTTACTGCAGCCTTCCTGAGGACACAGACCTTGATCTTCAAGGCCGATGGCAGGGATTATGCTATAGCAGATGATGTTACATTGTGGATATAAAAAGGAAAAATACCAAAAAAGTCTTCCTTGTATTTATTTTTTTTTTCAGAAGGCAGCTTCTTTGCTAGTAGAGCTCTTGGAGCAGTTTTGCCTTTAAGTTTGGTACCAATCTACAGTATTGCTCAATTACTGTTTGTGCTCTGTAAGTACTGATGGTGTTTAGTTCTTTTCTGGTTTGTTTTCTTTAAATCTAACTTCCCCCCGCTGTGCTGCTGGCTGTGCTGCCCCAGCGCCTGAGCTGTTTGTCGCTGCCGGCCCTCGGAGCGCGGCTCTGCAGAATAAAGGACACGATCGGCCCCCGCCGCCTGCTCGTTCTTTCCTGCCGCTCGGTGCCG